TAATTCAATATGTCCTTGTGTCTCTCAGCGTTTAAACAAAATCTATCGATCTGGTTGATGATCATAACTAGGACTTATCTATCATGTAGGGTAGGGCTTATATCCTAAAACAAATCATGCTAGGCTCTTTATACTGGGTTAGGTCTTATTTGGGGGGAAACAGTAGCTTGTGTGGGAACCCACAGTGGATTAGTTAGGTTGTAGGCTCAAGTATTAACAATCACCTTTCCCCAAAACTATGAATTATAAACAGATCTTATTATATATTTTCTCTTTAATTTATGCAAGTTTGTTTTCTTTACTCCAGTCCTAGTTAATGTTGACTTTTGAATACCATGTGGAACAACAAGAGACTTTCTGGTGAATTCACTTACTCAGTCACAAGGCAGCACACACACACAGTGCAGTCAAAGTCTACAAACATGCTGAACTAGTTTGCGAATTAAGTCACAGCAAAACAATGTCTGTCTCATTTTCATCATCATCATGTAACAGGTCCCTTGCAGAACGTCGCTCTCATCACGGTCTGCCTGAAAAAAACTCTCGCCAGCTCTCCCGCCTCAAGCACTTTCATACTCAAGGAGTCACTTATATCCTGTGCACATCTTCGTGTTGGTCGGCCCTGTCCCTCCTTCCTGGTACCATGCCGTCTTCTATTATTTTTTCAAATTATCTAATTATAGACAAGGTTTTTAACCAACTTGCCAGTCACTCCTCATATAAAACACTGCAGAAAAACTCCCAAGAACCTGATCTCATTGTCATCAGTGTTTCATTTCACATAAATCTTTCCAGCTGTTTCTATATGTTCACACTTTTCTTCTCACAATACCTTGGATAGCCAGAGTAAGTAATGTTAAAAAAAAACAAAGTTAAGGTCCCTTTTCCACGCCTTTAGACGTATAGGGCTAGACCTATATTTGTATAGACCAACTGGCACAAGATGGGTGATGTGGTCAGCATCACGCCTGGAGTAAGTAATGAATGCCTGTAAAAAAAATCTAGCGAAAGTATAAAATGTTTCACAAAAAATAAAACTGCAAATAATTTTCTTTGGGCATGCAATGAGAAGAGAGGCAGTTAGGAACATCAAGGCGACTGGAAAGATCAGTTGTGGACATGGCAGAGCTAAGAGTTAGATGGCGTTACATAATCTAAGATGGTGGCATGTTGAAATATCATCAACAGATTTGATCAAGAAGAACAAAGACCAAGAACTGTACAGAAACATTATACTGGCTATGCCAGTGATTCCCAAACTGTGCGCCACGGTGCCCCAGGAAGCCACAACCTCTTCACAGGGGTACAAAATAATCAAAGAATGACAAGTTATTTTTTTTAAAATATCTTTAACATACCAAGAGTCAAACTTTGACTTAGGTTAGGGTGTTGTGGACAATTGTTTATTGAAAAAAAGGCGCCTCGATTAAGAAAAGTTTAGGAAACACTGTTCTATGCTATCTGACAAGGCACATGATGATGATAATGGTAATGAGACTTTTAAAATGTTGATTGCATCTTTCTGATTTTTGTGACAAAAGTGTCCATGCATCTTACTTAGTCTTATTGAAGGCATCTTGATTCCTTGTTTAGCTATATACAGAAAATGGTAGGCAGCCAGTTTGCATTTGGTCTGGTTATGTGCCTTATGCAATGATTTTGTGGGTGTACAGACATCTTGTCATAACTTACTACTTCTATTGAAGACAAATTCAGATTCTAGGGCAGACTGTTGGTGCAGGCACTTCTTGTTGCTGCCTTATCGTTGGGCTAGCTGAGATATTCTCTGCATTCTCTTGTGAAGCCACATCTCTGGCTTTCAAATGGTTATGTTGCTTTTATACTAACTGTCACACAGAGAGGACAGAACAGAATCATCATCAAGTATATACAAGGAAATCAAATGGAATATGCAGTCATAAACATTTCCATTCACTTTCTATGGAAAACATTCATTTTCATTCATTCACCAAACTGTTGTGCCATTATACATAAAACAGGGCTCACAGATTATTCTTTTCTTCCATCATATCCTGTGCAATTATATAAGTATCATTACTAGGTTTCAGTAAAGCACCTTTGGCCTCTTTCATCAACGTCTAAGGTTTTTTTGGGGGGGACATTATGATGAAAACATGGACAGTTAACAAAAAACATACCAAAGAAAAAAAAAAATAAACAATTTACTTTTGTACTGTCAGACTATGTTGTGTGCCATGGTAACAAATTTGTGAACAACATATAAAACAGCATGACAGTGTCAACATTATATAGCTCTTTCAATACCAGATTCTCCATGTGGGTTCTAGGCCCCATCTGGGATTGGGGGGGGGGGGGGGGGGGGGGCCCAGAACAGATCCACTGAACCTCTAAAAAGAATGTTGTAAAAGGTGACTTTTTAGGGGTCTGTAAATGAGCCAGATCTGTAAAACAGAAGTGCATGTAAAACGTGGAAAAAGACCACTTCTGGACTTTGATCCTGTACCAGAAATTAGTTTTGCATGCATATCCATTTTACAGATCTGGTTTATTTGTATGCAGACTTTTGGTTCCTCATCTTGCAGAGAAATGCTTTCACACTTCATAGGCAGCACTCACAAGTATTAGTTGACTTTTACAACATGCTCGGTGTGTGGGTGGGGGGGGGGGGGGGGAGGTGGGTCTTCTAGTATTTATCCCCCACAACCCACACAGGGATAGTAAGTAATCAATAAATATAAGGTGAGCTGCCTGGTACTAAATGAGTTCAGAAACATTCACAATACAGAAGAAGTCTCACAACCTGGACAAGCTCCACCTGGCATGCCAGTTCATGACACTGTCAACATGGAAGGGGCACATAACTCCTTCATGGAGCTATAATATGGATCCTGCATAAACATTGCTAAGATTTTTACAGAATCATTAGGGAAACAAATATATATAAACAATAATGAACTCAACAAATTTTCGGTAATAACATCGAAACAAGAACATAATAATTTATAATACAATTAAGATAATGTTACTAATGCTAAATCAACATTTGAACATATTTTTGTAATAAATTAAAACAACCTTGTGAAATTTATAAAAACAGCATTCACTAACTGTGACAAGCTGAAGTTTAAAAGCTGCACAGATTTGAGGATTGCTCTTTGGTAAAGCTGCAGAAGTTATGCAATAGTTTCCTTTACTTGTGATATAACTGTAAAAATGTGGAAATTTATTAGCCTCTAAAGCAGTTTTTCCCATTTGGTGGTCCTTGGATCAAATTTAATTTTAAAACTGATATTAATTATACCAAAAAACCTTGATTTAAGAATGCAACACTTTAAAAAAAAAAAAAATGCTAATACTTATATATTATAAAAGTTCTTAAGTATGACTACTAAAAAGTAAAGTAGTATGGGGATTGTGAAAATAAGAGTAATCTCCCTTCTGATGTGTAAAAGGGGTAGAAGGACCTGTGTGTTCTAATGACACCCCCCCCCCCCTCCTCAAGTACAACACCGATGCTAGCCTGACTATCTGATAGGATTACCCATGTTGAGCAGATCAAGGGAGAAAATCGGACAAAACACACAGGGCACACACCTGCTGCCTTGCAGACAGACAGGGAACAGTCAAAGGTAGTGGATGCAAACTCAAAAAAAAAAAAAAAACAACAACAAAATTCTTCTTCTTCTTCAGCATTTCAAGCCTCTGAGTTGTCTGAGTTCACTGCTGCAGATATGACCTTCCTCATTCATTTCTGTAATTGGCTTTCTCATTGCGGCTGGAGTTTGTAAGTGTTTACAGGTCTAGCTGGTGGTCTACCCCCCCCCCCCCCCCCTTTTTTTTTTCCTGGTGAATTAGTCGTGCAGTGAATAGATTATCTGTCCAGCGAGCCTTTACCACGTTTACCGTAAGAAAAAGGAGCATTCCTGATGATGAAACTGATAAACCTGAATTACTGCATTTGGTAAAACTTCTGGGTCGAATAAACAGCAGTCATGGATGGATCTGACCATGTGGAGACTAAATCTCTATTCAACTGGTGGCTGCCATTCAATCTGACCCCCAGAGGTCTAGCAAGTGGCCTGCGGATCACTGCCACCTGTATTGTATTAGTGATCTTTCTGTGTAAGTTAGGCAGGTCTCTAGCCCGTGATGACCCTTATTTTCAACATTTTGGTCCCTGAGTAAACTTAGTTGCATATCCCTGCCCTACAGTAGAAAAAGCCAGCATCTGTGGCCTAGGAGGCTACGAATGCAGTGGTATACTTTTGACATCCTGGCTTAAATTCAATTTTGGGTGATTGGGCAGGCAAACTGTTGTAATTTCAACAATGGTATGAGCGCCAACCATTCAGATGGCAACCTTTAACTACTGAACATAAAATGGCAAACTACTGAGCATAAAACTGCCTTGTAAAACCACAAACAGCCCAAAAAAATTGTGGGACTCTTATGTGATGTCGCATACAGGATATACAATTGATTTTCAACACTAAATAAAATGCAATTAAACTATGGTATTTTACAATTTCTTCACTCTTCTACTAGACATAATTATTAAAAACAAAATTAATAAATAATTTCAGACATTAAAAAAAATATTTCTCTAACAAGGAAACAGCAAATAAACTGATGAAACAGCTATCACAACTCAAAAACCACGTACATATACATCTTATGTTATGTTTCTCCATGAATTTTAACAACACACAATAAAACCATAAATGATGTATATGATATGTAAATATCTGATAGAAGTATTTATATTAACAATCTCATTTCACATTGTGCATAAGTATTATTACCCTATGACCATACAGTTGTGATTAACTTTTTTTTAGTTCTAAGGAACACATCACACATAGATTTATAACTTATTTCTTCTTTTTCTAGGCATTTGGTTTTCTTTGCTTGGGTCAGACCGTCAGGTGGGCCACCTCTATGAGTTTATAAAACTAATTTAACCATCCTCAAATAAAAAAAAAATAAAATAGACTGCTAAAGCTAATCTTCCAAATGGATTACTTGCCCAAGTCTGCTAGAGAAAATTTACCTCCCATGTGCTGTACCAATGGCCTGGTGACATCCTGGGTCTGTCCCTCTACGTCAATATCCAGGAGGGTCTTCATGTGTGATATGTGTGGTGGGGTATTTCCAGGTGACATGTGCGACCGGCTGGCGTAAGAAGCCACATAGTCTTCACTCCCATGACCTCTTTCCCGTGCCGGGCTTACTCCGTAGCCTGGAGACACAGGGTACTTTAAATGTATCGTGGTGACCCCAGCGGCACCCACGTTGAGAGTTGTTGGACGCTGTGCTGGTTCAGTACCGGATCTTCTTCTTGGCGGCACTGGTTGGTGTTGCTGTATAGGCTGTGACGGTGCTATCGGGTAATCATGCTGGTGACCATGGTAATAATCCAAACTGATGCCATATCTAATGTCTTGTTGATCGAAAGTTGATAATGAATTAGAGGTATCTGAAGGGGTTCTTCTATGACTGTTGTAAGCATTACTGATGTTCATTTTGTTATAATCAGGTGGGATAAAATCATCCTCAAAAGTCACAGACCTTCTCTGGGCTTTACTCCCTACATCTGGGACTGAAGACTTTGGAGGTGCATCAAACGTACTTTCTGACGACAGCTGACGATTGTAGATCACAGTTCGTTCAGTTGTTGGAGTTGTACTGGACACGCCAGATGCTTCACTGTCTGCATAAGAAGAACGATGTGACGTTGTGCGTGCATTGTAGTTATTATAGGCATAACCGGCAGCGTGGTAGCCAAAATCATTGTCAGCACCTGCTGGTGACTGCGAGTCCAGTTCTGCGGGAATGCCTGGCCGCTGCCGCTGCTGCACACCATGGTATGTATGCCAGTAACCTGATGACTGAGCTTGGTAAGGTCGAAAATCTCCTTCAGGCTCGATGAATGAGTCTCTTACAGCTGCCAGGTAAGCATCTCTACGATTATTGATGTAAGAATCACGTTTCTTTATGGTTTTATCCTCGTCTCCACTTGGTGTGTGCAGATTTGGATGCATTGCTCTGGTGTTTGCTATACCAATGTCAAAGCCCATGGCCACAGAAGCCAGAATTACAGACATGTTATAGAAGCAGGAATCTGTCTTCTTCACTTTGGCAGGACTGACTCCAGGAGAGGTTGCTGGTGAGTGTGGAATGCTTCGAGACTTTGGTGAGAGGTCATCTAGATTACTCGGTAAAGTGTCATCTTCATCATCTGAGAATGTCAACATGAAAGTGTTGGGAGAAGAAAAAAAAACAATACTGATAAAAAGTAAAATAAAAGTGTTTGAAAATAAGATATCAGATCTTATCTTTGAACATTTGTAAGAAATCATATGTTGACAAAGTCAGGAAGAAGTGCTGAAAAACAAGATATCAGCAATTAGCAATGAACACCTTTAAACAAATCATACAGAGAGAAGTAGCATTTAACAAAACAACGCTCGGGCATTCCCATCTGTGCTCCGTCCTCATCTTCAGCAGCCAGCGCAGAGTTCCAATACCAATGGTACGGGTCACAATCTGGTTATATGTGCGTCTAGCCTTTCCTCTGAGTGTAGTGAGCTGGCCAGACCTTCTGGTTACACCCAGGTGCCTCTTTTTCTCCAGTCCATAATAATCTTGTTTCTCAACTGATTCCTTTGCTTGTTCCCAAAAGGCCTTGACCACATCTGCCATGTCATGTATCAATTCACCACCCAGTGGTACAGATCCAGCCAATCTGTTTGTCTGTTCTGTAAGTATGCTCACTACCCGTGACCTTGCCAGTGAAGCTTGCCACTCTGCTCGAAGCATCCCATTAAATGAGAAACCGACTGATTGATAAAACAAGGACATCCTTAAAAAGCCTAACACTAACGATGATGAGAGAGGCTAAAGGTGAAGGACTGGATTCCATCCATGATATTGATACAACTGCACAGGATTACAAGTAAAAGAACAATAAACTGCAAGCCCGATGTGGTGTACAACAGCACAACAGGAGGATGATGGTGATGCAAAGAGAGGGATAATTTTTTTCTTCGCAATTACTCCTGGGAAAAAAAGCCCTAACCCAAAAATAAGCCCTAGCCCAAATATAATACCAAGTTAAGATCTTATCCGTCTGTTTAAACACTATTCACTGAGTCACTCCTCTTCTACCTTGGGGTGTAGAGGTTTGCTAGGAAGATCAACAGACTTCTCTCAGCAGTTTTCTTTCTAGGTTTGTTCTATTCCAGTCCTCTGTCAGTGAGGGACTGTCAGATGTTGTCTTCTCAGCAAACCCTGGGTCGCCCTGGAGGTCTGGTTCCCTGGTTCTTAGCCTCCGATGAATGATTTTCTCCCATTATGTTATACATGTCCAACTGTGACTGATCCGCTTGAATCTCTAAGGACTGGGTTTCAAGATAGTGGCACATTGTCTGATTGCGAACTCTGTCCCTTTTTGTGACTGGGACCACTTTTCTCAGATATTTCATTGCTCATGACTCGCATCCATTGGTCAGGACTGGTACATAGGTAGTGCTGTAAATAGCCATTTTCATCCTCTTGCCAATTTCACTTTTGCTAAGAAACCCTCGGTTTATGGCCTGGAAGTCTCCTAGCAGCTGCTTTTCAAGTAGCCAGCTCTGTCTTAATGCCCCTATCTTGGTCTAATTTAACTCCAAGGTACTTGAACTGGTCCACCTGCTCCAATGCACACTATCCCATCATGATCTGGTGTTTCTTCTCCTCTCATGAGATCACCATGGTTTTAGTTTTGGAGATACTGATGGTCATCCCCCTCTTGTCAAGCTCTTCCTTCCAGACAAGTAAGCCGTTGAAACACGACGAGCAATTTGAAGTACAGAGTAATTAATGTATACATATATAAATCAAATAAAAAATTAATAGCAATACTGACACTAATGCTTGAAATACATGATAGTTTAAATGTATATTTTATGCATGAACAAATACATCTTCTGAAAATAAGTCCCAAAGTATTTTTTAGAACAAAGATTAATATACGACCCAGTCTTATTTTCGGGGAAGCATGCTACTAGAAGAGCCCCGCCACAGTGCCGTGGTTAGACAAGTTAGATGCTTGCCTGATGGCCAGAAAGTTTCATGTTTGAGCGGGCATCAAGACTGACCTCGGCTCCTAGGCTGACCCAGATTTTAAATGGTTAGCTTAAAATGCCCTAGGAACGAAGGTAATGGTTATGACACTGATATCACCCACTGAGCCCTGACTGGTGTATAAAAATATAAGTTTAGTATTATATGCCTATGATGGAGATATACTGAGCACACTCTGAGATTAAATGATCCAAGAATTACAAAACAAGCACTGCAATGGAAACAAACAGTTTGAAAAAAAAGACAACGACCAAGGGAAACATTAAGAACAACTTTATTACGAGAGGAATAAAAATGCTGGGGTGAATTCTATGTCAGAAATCGAGAGAGTTGCATGCGATAGAGCCGAGTGGAGGAATCCAGTGGGAGCCCTATGTGACGTCTAACAAAGGATGATGATGATGATCACACGCCTGACACACCACTGTCATAAAAATGGCCACTTATATTATTTTTACTATGACTACTGTCTTTTCTGCTGCCAAAACTAAGATGTTTGTTTTGCTTTTCTGTTTTTTTTTTTCTGTAGTGATTATTATAATTAATTTACCCTGTGTGGGTTCCGGGGCCCTATTATAGGGAAAACAAGAATAGACCCACTGCCTACCCAAAAGCATGTCATAAGAGTCTACTAATTGTGATCAGTTTCTGGAACAGGACTGCAGTCCAGAAGTGGACGAACAGCCAGAACTTTCCACCAGAGTTTTCAGCTGGTGATTGCGAAAGGAGAAGATTACAATTAAAAAAAAAAACATAAATGAGACTGGAAATGTGAGTTAAGCAGGCTTACATAAATGATTGACAGCTCCCATGTTTGAATGCCCTCCTCCAAGCTGCCTTAGGGACTTCTCCAAGTTTGGGGCACTCTTTGACCACCTCCCATCTGCAAATATTATAGATGAACGCTGGTGTCTGTCCTTTTGCACAGAGTTTGGGCCCCAAGTCTTGCCTTTCTTTCCACCAGCAGGAGGATCTGTAAAAATGTTACACAATTATAATGGACTGATATCAAGGGCAGGTTACTGTCTATGAATATCTATTTCCGTGTACACTTCACTGGTTTAATTTGAGGTTTGAGGTTTGAACAACGGATCAACATCATGGCACATGGGTAGTAACCCATAAGTGCTCCGTTCTTCTTCTAAACATCATGGCACATGGGTAGTAACCCTAAGTGCTCCGTTCTTCTTCTAACTCAAGTCTGAGTCCTAAGAAGTTCAGCACAGTGCAAAAGCTCTCTAGCATCGGCGAGGATCCTGAAATACTTAGGGTAGATTTTAAACTCAAAATTTTTCCCGGGTAGCGCCGTCAAGGCTACTCTTTTTGATTTCCAACTGCTAAGGGATTTTTTAGGTGTGCAACAATGTCCGATCTCACTACCCAGAGACCAGGAAGAATTACTAGAAGTCCAAGTCCACGTGAAAAATCTCAGCCCTTACCACCAGGCATTGAACCCAACACCTTTAGCACTCGAAGCAGACACCATTCCTCGAGACCATGCAGCCTCCTACTGGTTTAATTTAAAACCATCTTACCCCTTTCAGTAACTTTTCCTCAGCCTTTTGTCTATTAGCTAAGCATAGGCTCTCTACCTTTTTTCATTTGTTCATTTGAGGATAAGAAAAAAAAAAAACTAATGACTGGTAAAAACTAGGACAGTGGGTTAGTTTAACAACTGTCTTGGACAGAACAGACAGTGACAGTCAGCCTTAAACAATGTGTGGTGGTATCTTCCTGTTACCGTGAGTACCAAACGACAACATTGCATCCCTCCACTGAGAGCAGTTTGTACATTTAAAAACAATCTGTGCTGTTTTCACAATGAAATTTAGCTACACTGTACTACTGCCATCGCAGGGAGTTATCTAGTGAGGTCTCAATCTCTTCCACAGTGTGACTCTCATACCAATGTCTGAAAACCATGAGAACTGTTGGTTTTTTTTAACACCCCACTGCAGGGAAGCGAACACTAGAACTTGAGGATCATGAAGCAGGTGAACAGTGAGGAGGCACAGATAAATGATTATGGTGTGGGGAGAATGGCTCTGCGAGGATTTACCAAGAGATCTGACAGACACTCAACACTCAGAGGAAGGGCGAGACGTTTTACAATCAGAGTTTTACTGGTGCCATCGGAATTACAACTCTTCGCTTGCTGCTGAAGATGGGGATGGAACGCTTATGGGAGTGTCCTGAGTGCTGTGATATTGATTCTTAATTCAACATTCTACATTGGTTACTGTGAACATTAAATGGCAAAAAATAAAAATATGTTTACTTTCATAGTGAGCAGTAAATAATGTGGTAAACCAGTGGTTCCCAAATGGTGATTCGTGGAACAAATTTAAAGGGTAATATCATTTACACAACAAACAAAGTTCAACCCTTTTTTTTTCCTTCTTATATAGATTCTAATATAAATGTACCTGTTTAAAAAAACAAAATTGTTTTTAAAAATAAGGCTTTTTAAAATTTAGGGTCCGTGAAATTAAGAGGAGTCAACAAGGCTTATCTAATTCAAAACCACTGTGTTCGAACAGTTTATTTCGTAATGAGCCTTAAAAAAAATGGACATAATGAAAAATAACAAGGATTATGTCATAAGAAAGTTAAATATAGAACTGTGTACTCACTAGCAATTGCTCTGAAACGAGGCGGCGCTAAACCGTGTGTTGGTGTGACCGGTGGACTGTCTACATGTGTTCCATCTGCGTAGCTGCGCTTGTCATACAGGCAAAGATCCTCCTTCTGAACTGTAATATTATGCCGAAAATCTGCAAATACATATTCATCATCATCACCACCACATAAGGCGGGAGGCTCCAACAGTTGGACAGACAGAACACTGCACTTCTGATCCAGCAGATTATACGGCATACGTATTGGTGTTGTCTTGTTTTGGAGTTAACAAGGAAGGCTGAGTGAGGGATCAAGCCCAGGCTTTGTGCTTTAGTGCTAGAAAGAGGGAATACTTCCTGCCTGGCCTTGCTGCTTTCCTTTTCCCCCCAATTTGGCCAAAAAATTATGACTTACTCTGACGTATGTGGCAAATTGTCCTTATCTATTTTGATTTGGTTGTCTACAAAAATTTCAGCCTCAAGTGGATTTTGATTGCTGCTTCTTTTCAAATCTATAAGTTTACTTTGTATCCAGGAGCATAAAGGAAGGGAGGGGTTTAAACAAAAAACGTTTTAAAGGTTTAAACAATTATCTGGAAAAAGATAAAAAATATCAAGAGCAACAAACAGAATGAGCTTCAAATAAACAGGAGATATCTCGTAGAGAGCTAAGCAGAATTTTTAGTGTGGTGTGTGTGTGTGTGTGTTAAGTTGCTGACCGATTCTTCTTCTTCATTGTTCATCTGTGTGACATAATTCCATTGTACCTGTTTAGAGCTCAGCTGCGATATCTACGCCATATCCAACACATCGATTCATCAGGCATTTGTTCACCAGATTAGCTTTCCCAACTGGTTTTGTGGTGTAGCGTCTTCTTTGTCCCTTTATCTACAGGTGTTGCCCCTGGAGACTGATCGGCAGATTATGGAGAGCCGATACATGACCCTCTGGTCCTGGGCTTACCCAAGGTAACCTCACATCCTGCTTTACCTAACATCTGTGTTTTGAGTTGAGCTTCCTACTCATCACAGGCTGCGCCCTTTGGAGATCAACATGGAGCGGCCCGCAGGTCCAGGACTCCAATGCCCAAACAAATGGGAGCAATTTCCACTTTGATGACCACACAAAGGGGAGCAATCTTCTTAATCACATTAGACACATTTCACATTGATGCAACAGGACACCTAGCACAACAGTATTGGAAAATAATGCATCAGGCATGACTTCTCCGTTTGGGTACCAACATTCAAATGCATCAGGCATATCTTCTCCATTTGGGTACCAACATTCAAATGCATCAGGCATATCTTCTCCATTTGGGTACCAACATTCAAATGCATCAGGCATGACCTCTCTATTTGAGTACCAATATTCAAATGCATCAGGTATGACCTCTCTATTTGGGTACCAACATTTGAATGCATCAGGCATGACCTCTCTATTTCAGTACCAACAATCGAATCCATCAGGTATGACTACTGAGTCTGGGTACCAACAATCCAATCCATCAGGCATGACCTCTCTATTTGGTACCAACTTTTGAATGCATCAGGCATAACTTCTCCGTTTGGGTAGCAAAGTTTTAATGCATCAGGCATAACTTCTCCGTTTGGGTAGCAAAGTTTGAATGCATCAGGCATGACCTCTCTGTCTGGATACCAACATTCCAATGAGTGGAGCCAATGGTAGTGGACATTTGAAATTTGTCACACAGTGGGATGTTTGATGGCTGGAATTCTGTACATAACTGCAGACAAAAAAACAAAAAACAGCCAGATCTGTCAAATGGATGTGCAGGCAAAACTCAAGTTCTGAAACAAGACCAAAATCAAGAAGTGGATGAACAATCAAAACTTTCCGTCAGAGTAGGGGATGCATAGAAGAAGAAGAGAAAACAACAAGGAAGCTTACCAGAAGGCTCACTAATCTTTTTCCCGCCATATTTTAAAGCCTTCAAACGACTCTTCCGGTTTTTCCTCTTTTTTGGCGTAGGCTTCAGCATGACCTGCTGGAGTATAAGTATGTTGAGTTCCCGCTCCAGCAGCTCTATCTCCCTGGCAGCAAGGTCCTCTTCCCTTCTCTTCAAAGCATCTTCTTGAATTTTCTGCTGAAGTCCTTGCTTTGTTAGTTCTTCCTCTCTGCATCTAAGTTCCTGAAATCAAATTTAAGTCAGAGAAATAAACATGTTTTTAAAAGTTCAGACATTCAGTCTCAAATGTTTTAGCTCTCAATGTGGGTTCCAGGGCCCCAGTTGTGCAGATACAGGAGTGATGGGTTCCAAACATGAATACAACTTGCCAACTGCCTTTTTACGGAGTGAAGAAGAAAGAAAGAAGAAGAAAGAAGATAAGGAAAACGAAAAGAGAAGCAAGAGGAGAGAGAAGAAGTAGAAGAAGACATAGTTTAACAGTGTAAACATTCAATCTTATTTTAAAAGTTAAGACATTCAGTCTCACGTGTGTTAGAAGTTTAAACATTCAGTCAGTCTCTTATGTTTTAGAAGCTTAAATATTTAGTCTCACACATTTTAGAAGTTTAAACAATCGGTGACACAATTTTAGATCTTGAGACATTAATGTTTGTTAACTCTTTGAGTCCCAAGGAACGCATCATACGTTCATAGGTTCCTACCTAGAAGCCCAGTGAACACATGATGCGCCGATTTTATTACTTTCTTCACTACCCCCTGGACCTGTGATGCTAAACCCCTTGGGACTCAAAGAGTTAAGAGTTAAGATATTCAGTCTCACACGTGGTTTAATTTAGTGCATTTAGCTTAACAAAACCATACACCAACAGAGCAGAGAGGTGAAGAATACGAGGCAGACCAAGAAACAAAATAAAATGACATCAGAGAAACTCTGCAACAGTACAATGGTCAAGGCGGCCAGAAGATCAAGAACCTCATTTTTGCCTTGATACCCGAAGCAGTAAACGAGGTAGAGAAGAAGAAGAAGAAGAAGAAGAAGAAGAAGAAGAATATTAACAACAACAAAACAGTAATCTGCACCTTCTCCCTGCTGCGCAACTCGTCAAACATTTGTTCAATTTCTACACGCCAGTCCTCCTGCATAATGTGAAAGGAATCTTTTGGTGTGGAAATGAACGAGGAGCTGGCTATGTCATGCAAGCGCTGCAGAATTTCAAAGAAGGCTGGTCGCTCATGGGGCTCCTGATGCCAGCAGTCTGAAACAGAAGTCAGTTAATTTAACCCATTCAGTAACCAATCAAGATGTTACATCTAAATGCATAAATATATGTGTATGTTTCATGTATGTGTACAAACATATGTTCGTTGCATGTATATGTATAAACATACATATATGTTACTGTCACATATCACTCCTGTCGCGTGCCTAATGTAAGGATTCCTCCTTCAGAACCAACAGCACTCAGAGATAATTATGTTGAGTCGTTTGGCTCGTATTGGTCTAAGGGATTCCCCGTGGCCAATATACGATCAACTTATCTCTGGAGTAGGGCAACTCAAGTATTGGCACTACAAAATATGTCAGTATATATATATAATATTTCTAGGCACACTTGGCTGGACACCCCCACTACTTACTAAAGAAAGCCCCCAGGTTATGATAGTTCATTATCATAACCATGTTAACACATATAATGAAGATACACATACATACACAACTGCTAAACACTTAAAAAGGTGAAATAGAGACACCTAAGTCAGCCATGAAAATGAATGTATGTAATCAATATAAATTAGATATATAAAAGTGAGACATATGCCAGATCTCAGGATATCATGTCCAAATCACAAGGAAACTACACAGACAGAAGGTCTTGGAGATGACATCTTCTCATCACTGGACAATCTAGGAGCTGTGAGGAACACAACATCATGCGAAGCATCAGACTTATCTTCTCTTCTTTCTGTCTATGATGCCTCCCTCAGCTCCGGATGATTCGACTGTCTTTGACTCTGGGAATTCTGCTCCACTGGATCAAGTAGTAAGAGTACTTCACTATACAGCAACTGTACCGGTATTTAGCAAGTCTCTATCACCAGTAAGGACACACAATGTCTTTGAGCCACATTAAGCTCTAGTACTGGTAGCTGTTTGAGGTACCATCTCCCCAGGTTGGAGATGTCAGGAACCTTCACAGGTGTTAGCTGGTGGGTAACAAGTTGTTTCTGGTGGTTTGATGGTTGGTGGATGTTGGTTGGACTGTGAATCTTCTGCCAGCTCTTCAGAAAATATACATCCTGTCAAGAAAATAACTCAACATTAGTCATCACCAAGAGGGTAACATCTTGACAGGAAAGACAGAGCAAGCATTAGTCATCAACCCCCATCTGCTGACTCCTCCCTGCTCTCCTGTTTCATTCCTCAGATTGCCTCTCCAGACCAAAAGACATAAGTCTCCTATATTTATCTGTCTGTTTAGTGCAAGAGAAGGCAAGTCAGATATACAGTGGAGATAGATAAAGTGGTCTAACACATATATCACTCTCCCTCTCCCCCTCACTCTGCACACAGACACCAATATTTACTGTCAGTACCTGCATTCACTAGCTTTCCCAACCGCCCCAGCACTCATTGATCTGGGTCAAACACACACATACTTTGATTAACACAGCCCTGACCCAATTCTGTCCCCATTTCGTATGTACAGATTTTTTAATTAGTTTAAAACGTACACAATTGTAAAGGGTATTAAGTTTTATCAGTATGGGTGGTTTATTGAGGGCATAAGCTATTTAGTCTGTACAGTGGAAGATCTACGTTCGAATCCGCTTCTCTAGCGATCAAGAACGGTCGAACTAAGTGAAATCACACAGCCGATACGGATTTCTCTACAGCAGTGACTACTTTACAGACATCATTCTAGGTACTCGTAAACTATAATTAACTTACCCAAGCATATGTAAAAACTGAGACATTTCCAGATTGCCTTGAAAAGTGAAAGTTATACAGGCACAGATTAACACATCTGGACGCTTGAGAAGCTGGCAAGGAGAATAGCGTCACTTAGACACTTCAGGCGTTGGTACAAAAGAAGTCCCTTGTATACTGGGGCAAGGAGTAAATCGGTTTCCAAGAAACCTCAAATAACTCCCTAAATATATCTCCAAGAGATATACATTTAAAAGTGGAGTTTAGTTAAAGTAACCAGAAAAGGCAGACATAATAATGTTGTCCAATACAGGCCTATATATATAGATATAAGGGACTATATATTTCTGGGCGAGTCCAAATTTGAATTTTGTGCAGATTACAGGTAAGACAGGTTATCAGCCTTACAGACCGATGCGTAATGGCTATCATTTCACGACAGTTACATTTATAGATATATGTGTATGTATAACGTGTGCTTATAAACATAAGGTTTATGTTGCAGGTACGTGTACAAACATATGTGCCTGTTGCATGTAAATGTCTTGAAAACTGCTGGTATCTATAGTTTTGCGATGGGCACATCCTGAGAAGCAAGCAATAGATCACCAAACAGGCACTGGAATGAGAAACAAATGGACTGAGGAAAGGAGCAAATGCAAGAAAAATGAATGCTGATGAGAAAAAAACAAAGGTACTGGATTGGATGCTATCCATTATATTTATATCAAAAGCACTGTACATGATAGAACAGAATAGAGAAATAGACCAAGCCCTGTACAAAGATTACGTGTGTGTTGCAAGCTTATATACAGAAATATGTGCATGTTGCATGCATCTACACAAGCACATCTGCCACGTTCAGGATATGTGCAAGATGATGTCTGCATTTAATCTGTAATTTTAATTTTGAATTTGAATCGACATCACAGCACACAGGACACTCCCACCATAAGTGCTCAGTCCCCCATCTTAAGCAGCAAGCAAAGAGTTCCAATTCCAATGGTGCCAGTAACCGTCTGTATATCCATCTCATTCTTCCCCTAAGTGTTGAGCCTCAGCCAGATCCTCTGGTAACTCCTCACAGAGCCATTCTCCTTAGACCGTAATGATCCATCTGAGCCTCACCTGTTCCCAAAGAGCCCACACAATATCTAACTTGTTGATGTGTGCATAAGCATATGCACAGACTGATGAAAGTACAAGCAGATGAGCCTATTCATATGTCTACAAGGATATGTACATATTGTGTGTGCAAAGCAAGTGTGCATGTTTAGTGTGTGTATGTACAAGGATGTGTACATACTGTGTGTGTACATACTGTGTGTGTACAAACATAAGTGTGTGCAAAGCAAGTGTGCATGCTTAGTGTGTGTATGTACAAGGATGTGTGCATACTGTGTGTGTACATACTGTGTGTGTACAAACATAAGTGTGTGCAAAGCAAGTGTGCATGCTAAGTGTCGGAATGTACAAACACATGTGTTATTTCATGTTATCACAATTGACAACACAGCACACTCGGCATGTCCAGGTGAGCTCAACCCTCTGCTGACTGATACCATGACAAGCTGCGTATAATGTCTCCTATCTCAACCTTAAAGACAGAATAAATGTGGCTGCACCAAACTTTACTTTGTCCTGCAATCGTCAGTCTAGTCCACTAAGCACTGACGATACCAGCTTTGTCCATGCTCCTACCTGTATGCAGTGGTACATTACTTATTAGCTGACATAGTGTCTGTTTTATGTTAAACACCAGTTAATCAGCTCATGAGTTAATCTCAGCTCCAACTTTATGACAAACGGGAGTGCTTTATTAATATCCTACCCCAAACAGGAAATCCACAGGTCAAGGGAACAGTCTAATATTTCAGGGATTGGTAGATAGGCTGCATGCAGTCGTGGGTACTAGGCTGCATGCAGTAGTGGAACCTAGGCTGCACTCTCTTTGAGTGGGTTGGGGTTAGGGGGCCAGTTCTAGATGTTTTGGGGTCGTTAAAAACATCAGAAAGCCGGGAAACCCAGTCTTACCACCCTCTAAATTGTTGGACTGTCCTGTGACGTCATCTGGGGTAGGATATTAATAAAGCACCTAAACGGGTCACCCCATAAGTCCATTTTTATGCCAGCAAAAACCAGTCAGAATTCTCAGTGCTGTCCCTTGTGGGAAAACAATTGAAACAGACTGCAGTCTCGGAAAAGCCAATAGTATACATACGCACTAACTGCATAAAGCAGCCATCAGAAATGTCAACACAAACATTCCGTAACTAGAACTGCAGTTCATCATTGACGGAAACAGAAAAATCAACAGTTGCACACGCAATATCGCACAAGGTACCACCAGTTCTGTGGCAACAGACCACTCGCCATTTTCTGAAACTACAGTTCACAATACCAACCATGTTGGGCGCATTAAAAAATATTCCAAATGAAACTTGTAGCTTATAGTGTTGCGCCATGCATTCAACCCAGTAGTTGAGTGACAAAACTATACACCTTCAGTCTAAATATGGAGAAAAATGCAACCGTCAACCGTGCTTAAAAGTAAACAATCTGCTAGAAATAAAGCAGTTAGTCTGGCTACCCAGTATGGCAAATCTGTACCATATGTACAAACCTGTAAGCTTGTATGTACATTAATAAAAGTGTATGCTGTATGTGTGTGAATACAAACATAGGACATCAGTGCTGACACCAGCTATTCTAATTACCTGCCATGAGTTGGGAGAACATTGAAGGACATGTTGAAGGAATGGGCAGGGTCAGCTTATTCACAGCCACCCCGTAGGCCACGCCAAGTGCATCAATTCCTTTATATGGAGTTTCTCCAGTCAGAAGTTCCCACAGGACAACACCATAGCTGTCAGATGCAAGGAATGAACAGGATGTTTTTAAAATATGTGACAGTCTTAATGAATGTAAGGTTCCAGATAAAGATATTAATCTGTAAGCTTTTCGTACATAAAACTTGATAAAATTGAGAAAATCAACTCCACTGCAGAGGCTTTTCATCTGTCTGGCTTGGTCTCTCTCTACAGAGTGGCTGGCCTCTTACATAAACTTCCCAAATAGTGCAAACTCTCTACACCAACAATACTCAGGATTTCTGGAGGAAAACAATATCACCCATAGATCAAACAAGATTGGAAATGAGCCTGCTACCTTCAAAATGCAAGAGAAATAAATTGACCAATCTGTCATGAAGGTCCCCACACAGAACAAATATCTTCAACTAATGCTCCAACAGCTTCTGGGAATTAGAGTCACCGACTGTTTTATTTCACAGTAGATTTATATCTTTGCTATATCTCATTCTACTTTTGTATCTGTATCCAAATTTAACCTACAATAGGAGTAAATATTAATATTTGTGCTCTGACCCAATACCAAAACATAAAAATCAATGTCTTCATTGATAACTAGTATTTTTAGATTTATTGGTCATTTTTTTAAACAGTGGATTTGTATATTTTACTATTTTTCATTCCACATTTTTTCAATTTACCCAAATTTAGCGTAGAATGGAAATAAAAAAAAAACACATGCACCTGAATGAGCTATGAAATAAATTTACTGGCCACTGAGTTAACCGAATGCTTCGATTCCTCTTCACCAACAAAAAAATGGTAGACACATTCTTCCGTTTCTGGGGACAAAATTTATTGAGTTTGCTCTCTAGACAATTGCAGTCCCCTGCTGACGGTATTCTGTCATCCCGATTGGCCCGCCGCGATCATAACACTGCGAAGGCAGCGTGGTCTAGGCTGCCAAAAATATCGGTCAATATCCCGCCATTATATATTATTAGTGATTTAATTTGGTTAACTTATAATGACTGTGCATCTTGATAAAATGGTTGGGGGGTATTTGGTGCTCTTGTCTGAGGAGTAAACACACCTTAAAAAGTAGCAATAAAAATTACATTTTTGCCTGAACCACTTTTATAACTGTAAGTTATCAATTCTCAGTAAAGATTTTACATTAATGTCACTAATTGTAATATAAAAAAAAAAAAAAGTACCTCCAGACATCACTCTTTTTTGAAAAGCGAGAAAGCTTGATGACTTCTGGAGCCATCCAGGCATAGGTGCCTGCTGCGCTCATTCTAGTCGTCTGTTCCACTTCTCTGGCCAATCCAAAGTCTGTAATCTTCAATGTTTTCCGACATAAATCAGTTCCATCTGTTGGCTCTTTGAGCAAAACTAAAATGAAGAAATAAATGACATTAACCTATAGTTATTGATTTAAATACTTCACATATTATGTATATACCTTTCTATTTATTTCCTTCTGTACCAGTTTTTTGCATTTCTTCTTTCTCTTTACATTCACAAGCTGTAAACTCCAGCAGAAAGTGATGGTCGTTCATCCACTTTTTTGGTCTTGTTCCAGAACTTGGGTTTTGTAT